ATTACAGGCACGTGCCACCATGCCCAGCTAATTTTTTGTATTTTTAGTAGAGACGGGGTTTCACCGTGTTGACCAGGATGGTCTCGATCTCTTGACCTCGTGATCCACCCGCCTCGGCCCCCCAAAGTGTTGGGATTACAGGCGTGAGCCACCGCGCCCGGCCCGAAGTTGAACTTTCTAAGAAACCAAATCTGCCTGATCTGGCCCAATCATATTATTTTCAGATTGACCTCTAGTGAGATCCTTTTAAAATTTCCTTATTATGATTTTTGGAATAACATGTTTGATAGTCTGTGAAAGCTGTAAGTAGTGTGTTACTGCTATTTGTTTTTCTTCTATAAACTCTTGAGAACAACAGTGTTCTGGGTTTTAGGTTTACAGAATTAATTGACTTGGCTTCACTTCGTATTTTATAAAAGCATTGGCATTGAATGTTAATGATCCTTTCCCCATTCAAAGTGCTCTTACATAAATATTTAAGAGTAAATAAACATAGTTTGTGACAGTAGTCATAGTTAAGTTAGTACGTTAGTTACTGTTCTATATTGAATGCTAAACATATTCTCAGCTGTTTCTGAATGAACTATTACTAAAATTTTGTTTAAACGCTAAACTTCTATGGATAATTTTTCTCTCCCTTCTCTGGTCCTGCACTCCGTAACTGGGAACCATTATTATTATTTTATAGATCAGTTAGAAAGGGTATCATTCTTGTATAATTGTCTTACTAGAAATGAAAGACATAGAACTAAAGAGTGTGAAATTTTTCTGTTGGCTGTTTTTTTTGCATCTCTTATATTTGCATGCTATTTCATGCTTTGTTTTTCCTTTATTCCAGAATGTTCACTTAGGTTGTATGGCTCGTCTCTGACTAAATTTGCTCTGAAAAGTAGTGATGTTAATATAGATATAAAATTTCCTCCCAAGGTAAGTAATTAGAAAAGAGTCTTTCCTGTGTGGTTCTTTACTAGTATTTAGTAATTTTTATGAATTATCTTTGTAGAGAAAGAATAGAGGAATATAAAATTCTGTTTTGTATAGTGTTACCATCATGACTAAACAGTGCTTTTGGAAATTACTATTAGATTTCAGACATAGGCAGGAAAAAAGAAATAAGGGACAAGGGCAAAAGGAAGCAGAAGAGGAGAGTTGGGGAAAAAAGGGAAAAATGCTTATATTTGAACATGTTGAATAGCTATTAGTTCTGGTAAGCCGTATAGAAAGTGGTAAGAGTTTTGAAATCAGATACCTACATTCAGATCTTGGCTGTGATAAGCAAGTTGCTTGAACTTTTTGAGCTTCAGTTTTCCCATTTCTAAAACAGGAATAATAATTTTTATATTAAATGAGATAATATTAATGTATGTCAGGTGTTTTAATATAGTATCTGGTACATATGAGTACTTTTAATAAGTAGTACCTAGAGTCATTGGAACAATATTGATATTGTTCTAATATTGTTATCAGTATTAGAACAATATTGTTTATCACTGCTGACATTCTTTATTAACATATCTTTTAAAATACATCAATATTTTGTGTTTTAAATTGAATTGAATAATATGTTCATGTTCAGGGAGGTTTGATTTGGGTGAAAATTTGGTGTTTTTAGTCTGATACATTTACTTTGTAATTAATATATGGTTATTAAATACTTTTTTTTTTTTTTTTGCGACAGAGCCTCACTCTGTTGCCTAGGCTGGAGTGCAGTGGTTCGATCTCAGCTCACTGCAACATTGACCTCCTGAGTTCACTGTCTCAGTCTCCCAAATAGCTGAGATTACAGGCCCGTACCACCATGCCTGGCTAACTTGTATTTTTGGTAGAGACGAGGTTTCGCCATGTTGGTCTGGCTGGTCTTGAACTCCTGACCTCAGCTCATCTGCCTGCCTTGGCCTCCCAAAGTGTTGGGATTACTGGTGTGAGCCACCACGCCAGACTTGAGTTACTCTTAAATAGCAAAAAACACGTTAAACTATTTGACAAGCTTGTTGCATAAAACAGTGTTTTACTCTAAGCCTTTTGACTAAGCTGCCAGTTGACTATATCCCTTTAAGTTTTTATCTCAACAATTTATTTTTCATAGTCGTCCGTTAAACTCATTTCTTTTTTGTTTTGATGGGAAATTCCAGAACCTTTTCTTGCTTTAAGAAACCATTAATTCTAGGAGTGTTGCTGGAATAATAGTGCTACATCATTTACTAGATTCTACTTCTGTGAACGAGATTTGTTCACGTAAAAGTAAAACATGGCTGGACAAGGTGGCTCACGCCTGTAATTCCTGTGCTTTGGGAGGCAAAGATAGGGGGAATGCTTGTTGTGAGAAGTTCAAGACCAGCCTGGGCAGTATAGTGAGATCCTATCTCTACCAAAAAGAAGATATTAGCTGGCTGGGTGTGGTGGCACACACCTGTAGTCCTAACTACTTAGGATGCTGAGGCAGGAGAATTCCTTGAGCCCAGAAGTTTACATTGTAGTGAGCTATGGTCATGCCGCTACGCTGCGGCCTGGGCAATCCAGAGAAACCTCATCCCCCAACAAAAAAACCAAACCACTATTCTGTTTTCATTATTTAAAACACAGAGCATGATTGTTTTTAAATGTTATTATTTTATTTTATTTTATTTTTGAGACAGAGTCTTGCTCTGTCTCCCAGGCTGGAGTGCAGTGGCCTGATCTTGGCTCACTGCAACCTCCATCTCCTGGGTTCAAGTGATTGTCCTGTCTCAGCCTTCTGAGTAGCTGAGATTATAGGTGCGCGCCACCAGGCCCGGCTAATCTTTGTATTTTTGGTAGAGATGGGTTTTCACCATGGCGGCCAGGATGGTCTCGATCTCTTCACCTCGTGATCTGCCCATCTCAGCCTCCCAGAGTGCTGGGATTACAGGCGTGAGCCACTGCGCCCGGCCTTAAATGTTATTCTTTAACGAAATTGAGTTTTTCCTAATCTTCTGCTGTCCGAACTTTGAAATTAGTATATTGATTTAGTTTGAAACTGTTTTAGATGAATCATCCAGATCTTCTGATAAAAGTACTTGGGATCTTAAAGAAAAATGGTGAGTTCTTTTTCCTTTTTTTTTTTTTTTAATCTGCCTTTCTAAAGCTGCATTTAGAAATGTATGTTGTTTATGTATGGCTATCCAAGTTAAAACTAAACTGCTGGGATAGTTGAGTCATAGTATTACAAAAGTGCTTTTTCTGTCTGGATTGCCTTTGTAAACACATCAATTCATATAGGTAAAAATTTTTTAAAAATTACAAGATTCTTGAACCAGGTTCCAGGTCATATACTACAATCTACTAAATTTTCCTGGTTTTTACTTGCTGTTTTTCTTATTGTAAAGTAAATGCTTAAGATTAAGCTTGGCATCTGAAGCCAGACTTCCTTGGCTCAGATTTTAATTCTGCCACTTACTGGTTGTGTGTCCTTTGACAAATTATTTGTGTTAATACTTTAGCTTTCTGATCTGTAAAATGGCAATATTATATCATATATTTTTGATGAGAAAGTTGTAAGAATGAGATAGACTGAACTATAGTTTAGAAAAGTGCCTGGTATACACTAACTTCTTATTATATATTTGCTGTTGTGATTGTTATTGTTACCTTAAGTTATATGAATCAAAAGTATCTGGCAAAAATATTTGCAGTTTGGCTTAGAAGAGAGAGTTTTGTTTTTGTTTGTTTGTTTGTTTTTTTTAAAGCCGTACTCTCACATTGGCTTTAATGTGAATTCTAAATTTCTTTTTTCTTTCTGTCCACACAATCAGCTCTTATATATCAGTTTCCTGTTGGCCGTTGTCTTGGGAAAGTAGTTTTCTAGGAATGAGTTTGGTACAGTTTATCATATAAAGGTATTTTATTACAGTTTTCTTTCTTAATAAAGACTTGTTTCTAATTGCTCAAAAACTTTAAAATTTACTACAGATAAGAGGTAGGCATAGCTTTTACCTCTTCAGACTTCCTAAGTAGTATCATCCTAACACAAATATTTAATATATGCCTTTTCCACCCAGGATACATAAGTAGATCATCTTAAGTATACAGTGTAGGCTTATTAAACTCAGTCTGATTGTAAAATTGATTATTTCTTCCTTTATGTTTTTATTGTGCCTTTTACAGGTCACCTACAGAATTTGTTTATGTATTTGTGTTCCAAACCCCTTTATTGACCTTTTTGCATCTTACTCATTGTCATATTGACTCTGCATAATGAAATTTCTGACATACAGGTCTTCGACACATGTTTTTTGACTAATCGTTATAACAAGTACTACTGAGACATTTTCTTTGAATTATAAGTGATATTAATCTATCTGTTTTTATTTAGATTAGACATTAATGGCATGGGGCCTACCCTTGGAGGTATAGAGAAAAATTTCAGGGTAGAAATGTGCTTCATCCAGTGAGTCCTTCCTTAGCAGCTTTGATTAGGCAAACTCTTCATATATTAATGGAAATTTTCGCCAGCAGAATTAGGTTGCATTTACATCAATAATTTAAAAGAACTAAACTATCAAAACATGATAGGTCCTCCTTTCACAGCTCCTGTGGAACTAGCTCTCAAGAGTAACGGGTTTAACAACTTTGACTAGATTATCTACTTGGAAATATTAAAACTTTTAGGGATGTTAAAACCTTTCTTCTTAAGGTGATTATAATTTTTGGACAATATTTGGGATTGTACCTGTGGTTTGTGATATACAGCGAACAACACCAAGAGAGGTAAGAGATTCTTTTGGGTTTGTGCTCATAAGAAGAAGAGTAGATTTTCCCATAGAAGCAATGAGCATGATTTTCAGAAGGAAACTGTTACTTAATGTTTACCATAGAGTAAATATTTTAGAGATTGACATTAGCTTACTTTTTTTTTTCCTTATTAGTATTATATGTAGATGTGGAATCTGATTTTCACGCTAAAGTTCCTGTTGTGGTGTGCAGAGATCGAAAAAGGTTGGTAACAATGAAGATAAAAATATTTAACAAAACATACCCCAACAACCAAATTTGTATTGAATGATCTCTAAGAAAGTTTTTGTTTTAGATTTCTCCTTGGATGAGTATGACTAAACTAGTTTCTGTTCACTAAAAATAGCAAGTTTACCAAATGCATGTGAACAAGAAATACATAGAACAGCAGCTGAAAATAACATACTCTAGGCAGAACTTTAATTTTTTTTTTCTAAGTCATTCACCTACCCAAGAGTATTACATTTATTTATAGGCAGGTACTACTTTGCTCTAGGGATACAGACATAAAAAGGAAATAGCCTCTCTTGAGTCACTTAAACTCAGGAATTCAAGACCAGCCTGGGCAACATAGTGAGACCTTGTCTCTACAAAAAAATAACCAGGCATGGTGGTGTGTGTGCCTGTGGTTCCAGCTACTCGGGAGGCTGAGGTGGGAGAATGGCCTGAGCCTGGGAGGTTGAGGCTGCAGTGAGCCGTGACTATGCCACTGCACTCCAGCCTGGGTCACAGAACGAGACTCTGTCTCAAAAAAAAAAAAAAAAAAAGCCTCTCTTCTCAAGGATCTCACAATCTATTTGAATTTAGTTTTTAGTTCACTTAAATTGAATGAGTTGATTTAAATTGAATAAACTCAAGATCAATCTTAAATTGAAGACTGGTCTTGCCTTTCTAGTTAGATGTCTATAAGACTAAGAGAGCAAAGTGCCTTTGAAAGAGAAAACTAAATCCTATTTGAAAATAGTATGGGAGACATGGAAACAATACAGAAATGATATTCTTTTATTGATTATTAACTTGTATTTCTTATTTATTAAGATCAAGGTATTTTCTTATTCAAAGCTAGATGAGTCTATGGCAATATAGTTCAGATTTCTTATTTTCTAAACTAGAAAATTGAGACCTGGAGTGGTTAATCAGTTTGTCCAAAGTTACATCATTCAGCGGAAAACTATAGTTGGAATAGAGGCAATATTACATGTAGTGGTGTTTCTTTTGTTTTTTTACCACATTGCATTAAATTGCCTCTGTGTGAAAACCTCAGATTTATTCTTTAAGTTAGATGATATTTTCACTTACACAGAAGCATAACTTGTGGGTTAATCTGCAAATCCTGTCTGATCTTTATTCTGAAAATAACGTATTAGCACAACTGTGAAAGTTTGGATAAGAAAAACTAGAGTCAAGAAGTATAGCCAGTCAATTCAGTATTCCTTTTTTGTTCTTATGTACAAAGCAAGAGGAATGAACCAGGAAATTACTTTGTACCATTTGACATTGAAGAGATCAGTGCCCTGTCTCTCATGTGTATCAGTTTTGGTAATTCATAACGCTGCTTTTGAAAATAATTTCTTATGACCTTAAATACTAAGTGAGGTTGAAATTTATTTCTGAAGTACAGATGAACGTTAAAAACTTCTTTCTTTAATTTGTATGGAACTTTAGTAATGGAATGACATGTAGTTTTTAGTTAGCTCTAAATTTTTACAAACATTTGTTTTTATTAGGACTTTTAAGGTACTATATTAAAATATGGTAACTAGAAGGAGTAGCCACAGGATTTGAAGTATTCTGTTTTTAAAGGCGTTAATAACAATGAAATTTGTTTCTTTCTTATTCACAGTGGTTTACTTTGTAGAGTGAGTGCAGGAAATGACATGGCATGTCTCACTACTGATTTACTTACTGCTCTTGGCAAAATGGAACCTGTCTTTATTCCATTGGTGTTAGCCTTTCGCTACTGGGCTAAGGTAAGTGGAAGAAAGGAAAAATACTTATTTATTTATATTTTTAGAAGGCAAAGCATTTAATCTTCAAAATTAGGCCTTTCCTTGTACTGACATGTAACATTAATCATAACATGTGGAACAAAATAGTTTTCTGTGCTAGCCAGAAAGTGGTGTGGCAGGTTCTAATTTATGGACATAAATATAAAGTTTTATAGGCATATACTTATTGATATATTTTAGAATTTTTGTCATGTTTTATTCTCCTTTTACATACTATAGAAATGTTCTCTTTCATATCAGAATATGAGGGTCAAGTTTTCACTCCCATAAGTGAAACCTCTTATGTTTTCATTCTTATTATAAGTGAAACTTACAATAAGTGAAACTTTCACTCTTACTAAAACTTGTAAGGTTTTAAGATGTGGTATATACGTTAACGTTCTTTTGTTGGCATATTTTTTCCCCCAGTGTCTAAGAATGCTATTCTCTTTCCTGTAAATCATTGATAACATGCACCAATTTCTGATTGGGCAACTACTGAGGATTATTCGAGCTTTCCTAAATTAGAATTAATTTATACCTCTAAAGGTTGAAGTTGCCCTGTGTTTATTTCTTTGGTGTGGTGATAGGAGTGGTTAATTAGCAGTATCAGCCCAAATGACCAGAAAGAGATTTTAGCTTTTTGTTTGTGTGTTCCTGCCCTATCAGTAGAATATTCATCACTTGTTAGACTGGTGATGAATAAATTCTCAGTTGTATACAAAGAAAACTGACGAAGGGAATGGTGTTAGAGTGATAACTTCATAGCAAAAATAGAGAAGTCTCTTTGGAATTTTTTATTGGGACTCTGTTTAAAGAATTGCCCCCATGCTTGGGGCAACACCAGCTGGCTGAGTACGGAAGTCAGAAAGCCTATATACATAAGGCCTTTCTATTTGCTGTTTCTCTCATCTAGAGTGTTCTTACCTTAGGTATCTAAAATGCTTCACTCTTTTACTTTTATCAAGTTTATGATCACATTGATTACCACCTGTCATACATAAATTTGTTTGCAGTCTATTCTGTGAAATTATAAACTCTTTGAGGGCAGGGATTTTAATGTTTTATTTATTCAGTGCTGATTCCTACTTCCACTTATTTTACTGTATCATCACATAGTAGGCACTTAGTAAATATTTGATGAGTAAATGACCTAGTTTCTTCAGAAAGGAGTTTGTTTTGTTTTGTAAATAGAGATGGGGGTCTCATGATGTTGCCTATGCTGGTTTTGAGCTTCTAGGCCCAAGCAATCCTAGAAGTCAAGTAAAGAAGTCCTCAATTCTCCCAGAGTGTGAAGCACTGTGCCTGGCCAGAAAGGAGATTTTTAACCCATGGAAGTGAACGGAGGCAGTAAAATAGGTTCAGGAAGGGTGACTACTTCCTCTCATTAATCTTATACTGTATGCTTAGAATACTATAGGAAATCAGTGCTGTGAAGTAGAGTAAACCAATTCCAGCTCTAGTTTTTTTGCTAAGTGTTTTTACTTTTGACATGGCGTCTCTGACATCCAGGCTGGAGTGCAGTGATGCGATTATGGCTCACAGTAGCCTCAACCTTCCAGGTTCAAGTGGTCCTCTCGCTACAGCCTTCCTAAGTAGCTGGGACCACAGGCATGTGCCACCTTGCCTGTCTAATTTTTAAATTTTTTTTGTAGAGGCGGGGTCTCATTTTGTTGCCCAGGCTGGTCTTCAACTCCAGGGCTCAAACGATCCTCCCACCTTGGCCTCCCAAAGCACTGGGATTATAGGTGTGAGCCACAGCACCCAGCTTTGCTAAGTCTTTGAGCAAGGTACTTCACCTATCTGAGTTTCAATTTTTTTCACCTGGAGAGAATATTTTGGTAATATTATTAGATAATTCACGAGAATACACTTCAAGCTCTAAAATACTCCAGAAATATAAAGGATAATGGAACACACAGCTGCTTCTTTGTTGGTGCTTTTAAATTAAGCTCTAATTTTTTGGGGGGTCATAAAGTCATGTCAGTTTTCTCCCAGACATTCTATTCAATAAAATAAATAGACTGTGTTAGAAGATTATAAATGATACTCAAATATGTTATTTTTATTTTGGAAAAAAATGTGGCCTATAAACATTGTTTCCTAAAGTGACTCTTGGAAAAAGTTGCTCATGGTGTATTAGTACTTGATCCATATTGATTCTAAATATGCCACTCAATGGACACTGAAACGTATATTACAAAAACTGATTGTAGAGTGGTTCCTTTCTGTTTCCAACAGAATACTGTGCCTCTCATTTTTGTCATTTGTGTTAGTTGCAAAGAAAGTTTTTTCATGGTATTGATTTTCTTAATTTTTAATAAGAAAATTCCTAGTATCTTTTTCTTCTGAGGATTTTTAAAAATAGGTTTGTTTTTCTTGAAGTTTTAAGCCATATTGTACATTATCTAGTTAAGCACACATTTCTCCATATTTTTCCATGATTTGGGGCTCAGGACAATTGTAGTATATAATTTATTCTTATAACTGATACCATGAGATTGCAGTTGATGATTCTCTGGCTCTCTCTTGAGCAGTTACAGTCTTTGCATTTTAGTAATAGGAAATAGTTTTCTAGATAAAGCTTATTAATTCTAGGTGGCAGAACTCTGTAGCCCCATCATCAGTACATTATTATTAGTCAAGTTATCTGACTTAGAGCCACTTTTTGTAGTAAATATAAGAATTGCATTTTAGCAGTGTTTGACATCTAAAACTGGTTTTAAGAGCTCTCTCTTAAACTGCCTTAATCTTGTTCATCTGTGAGATGTCTGGTAATGTTAGCAGAATATATTGACAGTTCTTTATAGTTGCAAAGGAATTTTTGGTTAAGTCAACTTACTCATTAGGCAGTTTACCCTTGTCTTAGTATTTTGGATAAGCGATAGTTTATTCTAGTAAAATGTTTCAGACTCCTTTTGACAAGTGTTTTTAGTCATCTTTTATTTTGAGTTGTAATCTTAAATGTACCAAAACATTACACTACAGTATAATTACTCCATATTATATTATTATTATCCAAAATCTTCATTGTCTACAGAAGAAAACAAATAACAATTTAAAAACCAATCCAGCCTATCCAGTATAGACCAATCTTACATAGATGCTACACTCTAAATGAAATATAAGCAAATGAAATATATCCATGTATCAAAGGTTAAAATGCCATGATTATACATGATTTACTTCAAGATTGTAAGAATGATTTAATGTAGGAAGTCTGTTCACATAATTTGTTATATTAACAAATGAAGCAGAAAAAAAAAATCCTAGATGCTGAAAGGGCATGTTCTCCCTAACAGAAACTTTTACGTCAACTAGAAATGAAAGTTAATTATGAAAACCATTTATTAAAAAACACACAAAAAACAAAGCCAAAACAATAAGAAACATCATTTAAGCCGTATATATTAAGATGAAGAATATTGCAGAGATGTTCACCACTGATGTTGTACATTGTTTTGGGATTTTAGGAAATGCAATTAGAAAATGAAATAATTGAATGTAAATATTGGAAAAATGATAAAAATTATCTCTTTGTGCTAATAATATGATTGTATACTTAGAACACCCTAGGAAAAGACTACTGGGATTAATAAGAGAATTTAGTAAGATAACTAAATACAAGATAAATATACAAAAGTCAGTGGCCATTCTCTGCCATAAAAATAACCTCTTAGAATGGAAAGGGGGACAAATACTTACCTTCATGACAGTAACATAAATTATAAAACACTAAGGAAGAGATTTAATAAGTTACATATAAGAAGAAATTATATTGAAAGATGAAAGCAAAATCTGAACGAATCCATCCCTTCAGCAAACGTTTGCTAAATGTGTTCTGTGTTTCAGATACTGTTCTAGAGGCTGGGAACATCTAATAGGACATACAGAGTCTGGCTTTCATGGTGCATACATACTTCTGGAAGAGTCAGACAATAAAGAAATTATATAAATAATAATATCTGCTAGAGTTTAGTACTAAACTCTAAAATGAAGTGATAGAATGAATGATACTACTCTGAATGGTCAGGGAAAGACTCTGAAGAAATGGTATTTAAACCCATTTATTTATTTATTTATTTATTTTGAGACGGACTTTCGCTCTTGTTGCCCAGGCTGGAGTGCAATGGCGCGATCTCGGCTCACCGCAACCTCCGCCTCCTGGGTTCAGGCAATTCTCCTGCCTCAGCCTCCTGAGTAGCTGGGATTACAGGCACGCGCCACCATGCCCAGCTAATTTTTTGTATTTTTAGTAGAGACGGGGTTTCACCGTGTTGACCAGGATGGTCTCGATCTCTTGACCTCGTGATCCACCCGCCTCGGCCTCCCAAAGTGCTGGGATTACAGGCTTGAGCCACCGCGCCCGGCGGTATTTAAACCCATACAAGTAATAGCTAGCTGCATGAAAATCTGATGGAAAAGTCTCCAAGGGACAACTAGGCCAAAGCTTTCAAAGTGGGAATGAACTCAAGGAGGGGCAAAAAGGAAGGCTAGAGTGACTGTAAAACTGCTTTAATCAAGAGTATGCCATTGGCATAGGAATAGAAAAATAGATATGTGGAACAGAATAGAATGCTCAAATGATCTAGTGTATAGGAGATTTTATTAAATAGTGCTTTCACAACTGTATCTTACAGGAAGAAAATAATGTTGGACTCTAAGCAGACTAAATGCAAAAATAAATTTTACTTAAATGAAAATTTAAAATTTTAGAAGAAAAATGTTTGAGTATGTGTATGTAAATAATGATATGGGAAGCTTTTTACTATGATAGGATACCTAGAAGCTGTGTAGTTGTCCTCAGTATCCATAGGGGGATTAGTTCCAAGACCCCCATGGGTACTAAAATTTGAGGGTGCTCAAGTCCCTCATACAAATTGTGTGTTATTTGTATCTAACCTTCATGTAGATACCAACATACTTTAAATCATCACTAGATTGCTTATAATATCTAATACAATATAAATGCTCTGTAAATAGTTGTTATACTATATTGTTTTTTAATTTGCATTTTTATTATATTGCTATTTTTAATTTTTTTAATGTAAAATTTTAATTTTTTTCAGAGAGTCTTACTCTGTTGCCCAGGCTGGGGTGTGGTGGCATCATCATAGCTCACTGTAACCTGGGTTCAAAGGATCCTCCTGCCTCAGTTTCCTGAGTAGCTGGGACTACTAGTGTGTGCCACCATACCTGGCATTTTTTGGTTTTGTTTTGTTTTAAAGAGATGAGGCCTTTGCACCTGGCCTTTTACAAATTTTTAAATTATATATATTTTTAGAGATGGAGGGCTTGCTATGTTGTCCAGGGTGGACTCAAACTGCTGGGCTCAAGCAATCCTCTGCCTCAGCCTCTATAGTATATTGTAGCTAGCTGGGACTACATCAGTTGCAGGTGATATGTGTGCGTCACCACACCTTGCTATATGTAAATATAGATAGGGTCTCACTGTCACCCAGGCTGCAGTGCAGTGGCAGGATCTCAGCTCACTGCAACTTCCACCTCCCAGGTTCAAGTGATTGTCCTGCCTTGGCCTCCCGAGTAGCTGAGATTACAGGTGCCTTCCACTGGGCATGGCTAATTTTTGTATTTTTAGTATAGATAGAGTTTCACTATGTTGGCCAGGCTGTACTCGAACTCCTGATCTTAAGTGATCCACCCGCTTTGCCTCCCAAAGTGCTGGGATTACATGCGTGAGTCACCATGTCCAGCCTAAAAAATATTTTCAATCCGTAGTTGATTGAATCTGCAGATGCAGAATGCATTGATATGGAGGGCTGACTGTTTGAAATGAGCATATTTAAAAATTAAAGCATAGTAAAAATTAAAAAAATTTATATGGTAAAAGATACAATAAATAATATCAAAAGAAAAAAGTAGATTGGGAAAAATAAGATCTTTCAAATGCATCTTTATGTATTAGACATAAAGGGTTATTATCTATAATTATAGCTCTTATAAATTGATAAGTATTGCATGAAAGTAGAAAAACTTGCAAAATATTTAATAGGCAACTTTGAAAAGAGTAAATTTCAAATGGTTAAACATATACAGATTTCATAATCTCTTTAGGGTTAAGGACATGCAAATTAAAGTAACTATCAGATATTAAATTTCACCCATCCCACTGAAAATTGTTTTTTAAGTGATAATACCTAGTGTTGGAAGAGGAGTATGTACACTGATAGGTTGCTGCTGGAAAATACAAACTTTGTGGTGATTTTGGAAAAACAATCTTACAGCATATTTAAGGATTAAATATATCACTCATCTTTTAATTTAACAAACATTCCTAGGAATACAGTTCATAGAAATAAGCACCAGTACTTATGAAATATGTATAAGGATAAATGCTACAGCATTGTTTTAGGTGGCAAAAACTGGGAACAAAATATGAATGTCCTTGAATGGGGGAACTATTGTGTGACCATCCATATCATTGACTGTAATTTAAGCATTTAAAAGAATGTGTTGGCTGGGCATGGTGGCTCATGCCTATGAATACCCAGCACTTTGGGAGGGTGAGGCGGGGAGATCATTTGAGCCCAAGGATTCGAGACCAGCCTGGGCAACATAGGGAAACCCCTTGTCTACAAAATAAAAAAATTAGCTGAGCATGGTGGTGCATGCCTGTGGTCCCAGCTAAGTGGAAGGATCACTTGAGCCTGGGAGGTTGAGGCTGTAGTGAGCCATGATCATGTCTCTGCACTGCAGCCTAGGCTACAGAACAAGACCCTGTCTCAAAAATAACGTAATGTGTTGGATTTTGCTAATTGACTTAAAGGGGCTTTCTTGATGTATTGTTAAGGGAGAAGAGTAATATACAGAGAGATGTCTATTAAAATAATGATGAAAAACTTAAACTTCTCCCTATATGTATATAGGAAATAGAAATGTATGTGTATTTATATATGAGTATAGAAAAAGGCCTAGAAAGAATACATAGAAGGTTGTTAATTGAAGTAGAAGTAGAGGCAAGATAAGGAGAAAATATTTTAAAAATGTGTCCACAGTAAAATAACTACATATAATATTACTTCTTTTGACAAAAATATGTATCTTTGTATGCATTTAAAAAAGAATGAAAAAATGGTCAACATTTTAATGATTATTTTAGAGTGATGATATTTCAAGTTATTCCTTATATTTTTCATTGTCATTTGAACTTTTTACAGTGATTAGGGTAGGAAAAAACAAGGTACTTTTATCATGAAAATTAAGAAAGCTAAATGGTAGTACTTTTTTCCCCTTCATTTTGCAGTTGTGCTATATTGACTCCCAAACTGATGGTGGAATCCCTTCTTACTGTTTTGCTTTAATGGTGATGTTTTTTCTACAACAGAGAAAACCCCCTCTTCTTCCTTGCTTACTTGGAAGTTGGGTAAGCATGAGTTTGTTATACATATGTGCATGTGTGTGTATATATATATATATATATATATATATGTACATATATATATATATATAGTTTGCTCTTGCAGAGAGTTCTGCTCAAACATTTTAAGCTGGAATTCTGGTTTGTCTGTTTGTCCATCTTTTTTTTTTTTTTAAATAATTTTTCCACTACCAATTTGGAATGCCTTTTTATATAGATTGAAGGCTTTGACCCAAAAAGAATGGATGACTTTCAGCTGAAGGGCATAGTAGAAGAGAAGTTTGTGAAGTGGGAGTATAATTCAAGTAGTGCAACTGAGAAAAACTCAATTGCTGAGGAAAACAAAGCTAAGGCAGACCAACCAAAAGATGATACCAAGAAGACAGAAACAGACAACCAAAGTAATGCCATGAAGGAAAAACATGGCAAAGTAAGCCTTTTTATTTTTGTTTTTGGCTTTTCTATCTGTAGAATTTGTAATGCCTTCGATTGAAGCTATTTTAATTGTAGATTGACTGACCTTGAGCAAGCCTCTTGGCCTCATTTTCCTCATCTATAAAGTGAGGGGTTGATCTGGTTTAGTTTTTTAATACCAAGATTCTCTAATGAATTTATACCTTGTTTTGGAAAACTTGTATTGTTTGAGTCATGTCAAGATAAATCTGTCATTTTTCATCTAGACAAGGAAAATTTCCTTTAGGAGTTGGGCTCTGACCAGACTTCAGCGTATGGAAATGTTGTTGCCAGATTGGGTGGAGAAATAAAGGCCCTGCTGTGCTCTATGAGAGGGTAGCTTTCCTTGTTTGATTATTCAGCATTCATTTATTAAGGACCTGCTATGTGGCAGGCATTATCTTGAGTGCCAGAGAACGAGAGATGAATATACATGGATTATGTGCTCCAGAAACTTGTAGTCTTCTAAGTGGACAGATGCATTATTACAGAAATCTGAATATTTCTGAAATCATTGTTCTACTATACTGAGTTATTTGTAGTTTCCTGATATGCTTGCCTATTATATTCAACTCGTCCACTTTCCTGGACTACCGTATGCTGTCCCCTCAGACCACTAATACTGCCAGCCAATGATCTTGCTTATTACTTCACTAAGAACTTCCCATATTCTTATCTAAAGTCATTTTCTTCACTTGTATGTTCAGTCTCATCTCGTCTTGTCTTTTCCAGAACATCACCCTAGCAATTATTCCCTCGTAAATTACCAGTTTTTTGTTCCCTACAAAACCAAACATGCTGTTATTCTCCCACTATAAAAACAATCTGACATCACTTCCCCTCCAACCTATTCCTTTGCTCCCTTTTGCAGTAAAACTTCTTAAAGAATTGTTGGTATTTACTATTTTTGATTTCTCTGTTAGCCCCTTAACTCACAGTAGTCAGGCTTTGATGTCACCCCATCAGTTTGTCAAAACTTGTATCATCAGTGTCAGTAACCTCCACATTACTAAATTCAATGGTCATTTCTCAGTTTCTGTCGTTTTTGATTTATTAGCAACATTTGCCAGTTAATTACTTCCCTCTGAAAATTTTACTCACTTGACTTTGAGGACACTGAACCTGTGGCTGGTTATTCCTTCTCGGTCTCCTTTGCTGGTTTCTTTTTTCCTCTCTAATTTCTTAAAGTTGAAGTGTTATAGTTTATGATCCTCTTTTTCTTGTGTATGTACATTCCTTTGGTAATCTCATCTAATTCTGTGGATTTTAAGTACTATCTATATGATGATCACTCTCAAATTTAAATCTCCAACCAGACCTCTCTCCTGACCTCCATAGTTGTAGAACCAACTGCCCATTTACTGTTTCTGCTTAGATATCTAATAGATGTCTTAAACTTAATGTGTCTAAACTGAATTCCTGATTCTACCCTCAAACTTGCCCCACACTTAGTTTTTCTAACTTACTTGGTTGCACTGCATCCTTTCAGTGTCTCAATTAACTGAAAGTATGCTCCTTTCAGTTAACCTTGGAGTCATCCTTTACTCCTTTTTTATACTCCATAAGTTCTGTCATCTCTATTAAATATGTATCCAAATTTGATTACCTTTCATCCCCCCACTGTTACCATCCTGGTCCTCGCCACCATCGTCTCTGGCCTGGAATGCTGTTATAGCCTCCCAACAGGTTTCCCTGTGTCTACCTTTTCCTCTTATAGTCTGTTCTTAACAATCAGAATAATTCTTCTGAAACTTAAGTCAGATCATGCTCTTTCCTCTCCTCACCATCAAATGCTTCAGTTGTTCCTCATTTCATTTAGATAACAAGCCAAACAGTCTTTCCTGGCTATCTCCTTGCTTTCCTCTTCTACTCTTTGTCTCACTCTGTCTTGGTCTCATTCTTTTTTAAAGCTGGTCTCATTCTTTGTGTGTTTGCTCTGTTTCCCATTCCTATAGCACTTTTCCCTTTTCTTAAACAATATCTTCTCAATAAGTCTTATCCTGACCACTCTGTTAAACACTGTAACCTTCTCCTGCTTCCACACTCCCACCCCTTTTAGTGTACTCAACTCTTTTTTTCTATAGTACATATCTTCTTTAAAGTTACATTGTAATTTACTTATTAAATATGTTTGTTGTCTTTCCATAGAAAGTAGGCTCCATGAAGGCAAGGATCTTTGGGTTTTTTTCCCCCACAAAGACATATCCCAAGTGCCTAGAACACTGTCTTGCACATAGTAGGCACTCAGTGAATTGTTGTAGAACTGAATGTGAGAATGACTGTTTCATGTGTTTATGCAGCCTGGTGGTTACCTTCAGCCAGGTTTCATCTAGCTAATCTTTGGAATTCAGGTGTTACCTCTTCTGTTATGATCCCCATGTTTTAGAGGCCCATCTTAGCATGTATCCTTTACTATAATTGTTAAAGTGTCTCTCCCCCTCCGAATAGTCTATGAAGTAGGACCCTCCCTTATTTACATGGCAGTATAGTATAGTGATTCACAGCATGGACCCAGCAGGCAGGTTGTTTTGAGTCAAATCCTCACCCTATAGTGTCTACTTCATGGAATAGTTAGAATTAATTATTCATATATGTGCAGCTTTTAGAAGAGTGAATGGTGCATGGTAAGCATTATGTATAAGTGTGAACTTTCATTATTTTATTATATTCCCAATAATGTCAGAGACATAGTAGGTTCTAAAGAAATGTTTGCTGAATGAAGAAGGAATTAGTTTTTTTGAAAGCCAGGGCGTTTACTTATATTTTAAAAGTAATTATTGGAAAAAGGAGTTGTAGTAGTTGTTATACAGTGGTTTGCAGCCTTGGCTGCATATGAAAATTACTTTAGGGAGCTTTAAAAATGTCTGCCTAGGCTGGATAGCCTATTCAGTTAAATCATAATCTTGGGAGCGGTATGGAAGGTGGGGGTGGTGTGGAATTCAGATATTAGTATGTTTTACTACTACCCACATGATTCTAATGTGCAGCCAAGGTTGAGAATCACTGGTTAAGAGGAAAGAATGCAGAATTCCTAGTAGTCAGCAAACTGGGACTTTGTTCCCAGCTTTGCTTCCAACTGACTGTTTTTGGCAAATTACTCCTTCATGCCTCAGTTTTTGAAAACATGATCTCCAGGGTCTTCTCTAACTGAAAATTTGTTGATTTTGTAGTTTTGTTAAGCTTAAATGAAAAGTATTTTTTCTTTTCCAGTCTCCTTTAACATTGGAAACACCAAATCAGGTATCCTTGGGACAGTTATGGTTAGAGCTGCTAAAATTTTACACACTGGAATTTGCTTTGGAGGAATATGTCATATGTGTACGGATACGAGATATTTTAACAAGAGAAAATAAAAACTGGCCTAAAAGGCGAATAGCCATTGAAGGTGAGATGAAATGATGTATTTCATTTGGAGATTATTTTTTGTGTGCCACTCATTATCTAATTCAGTGTTATAAATAATCCTTTGGCTTTATAGTACTATATATATGTCACCAGATTGTCATTTTTTCATTTTTAATTTTTTTGGAGACAGGGTCTCGCTCTGTTGCCCAGGCAGGAGTACAGTCATAGGATCATGGCTCACTGCAACCTCAAACTCCTGGGCTCAAGGGATTTTCCTATCTCAGTCTTTTGAGTAGCTAGGACTATAGACTTCTGTGTTGTTATGCCCGGCTAATTTTTTTTATTTTTTGTGGGGATGGGGTTTCACTGTGTTGCCCAGGCTGGTCTGGAACTCTTGGCCTCAAGTGATCCTCCCGCATTGGCCTCCCAAAGTGCTGGGATTTTAGGCATGAGCCACCACGCACAGCCCCCATTATTTATTTAGATTCTTTGTCAAGTCTATTATAGTTTTATAGAATTAGTATTTATTTGAAAGTTTTTGCTTATATATGGTTAAGGTCAGTAATTAGCATTTTAAAATTTTGAACATTTTATTTTTTACATATGCAAACTTGTAAAAATACAGAAAAATGTAAGTTATGAATACTGTAAGATCTTTTTGAATAAATTTGTGCCATAAGATGATGAGAAAGTTTTTATTGTCTTCTAAAGTACCTCACCTAATAAATGTGGCTTAGAGCTAAAGGGGAAAAATAAAAATTGATGTTGACAAAGCTTCATATCAGATCCCAAGACCATTAAGATCTTTGGAGATACAGAAAATAATAGAGTGGCTCCTAAATTCTTAATCAAAAATTTGAATTTCACAGCATTTCACTTGCCTTTTATAGGTAAGAAACTGAATTTATGTCCATTTTAGTCTGCTGAGCCTACACATTGTTCACTTCCCTCACTCCTGCTGGCCTTCTCCACTGGGAGCTCAACTCAGAAATATTCTGAAATATTCATGCAAACATTTACACACATCTTGTACTCTCTTATATATAATAAATAAAGGAGCTCTGAAGTCTTCCAGCCGTAAATTATCTATTTTTTTTTGTTTCTTCCCCCGCCCTTTTTCATTTTCTTTGGGAAGTGAGGAAGAAACCAGAAAAAGCTTATTAAAGCCTATGGATTTAAATAGCAGCAAAAAGTAACAGACACCCCAACTTTAACAGTTTGAAGCCTAGCCTCTTAATACCAAAAGATTTTCAGTAGTAGGGAGCATATGTATTGTCTTTTTGGTGGCACTGTTCTTTTTTCCTGGGGCTTACCTATATTTAAGGCTTATAGATATTTTCAGAAACTCGTTTTGTTATTAATAATGAGGATGCTGTTGTTGCAAGACTTTGCAGGGTAGTCATTTTTGACTGGATCAAAGTTTAAATTTTTGTTTAATTTTTTTTTTTGGTCTCTTTTTTTTACTTTTTTGTTCTTTTCTCTCTTCCTACTACTTTGATTTACTTTTTTTATCTCACTAAAGTTAAATCTAAAAATTAGTTTGTTTTCAAGTTGAAGCCTCGAAAGTTTTAGGTTTGTTTACTTGTTTAAATTGCAAAGAACGTAAACTATATTAAAGAGCACTATGAGCTGAGCACAGTGGCTCACACCGGTTATCCCAGCACTTTGGGAGGCTGAAGCAGGCGGGTCACCTGAGATCAGGAGTTCAAGACCAGTCTAGCCAACATGGTGAAACCCTGCCTCTACTAAAAATATAAAAATTAGCTGGGTGTGGTAGCGTATGCCTGTAGTCCCAGCTACTTGGGAGGTTCAGACATTAAAATCACTTGAATCCGACAGACGGAGGTTGCAGTGAGCCAAGTTCGTGCCACTGCACTTCAACTTCAGGGACAGAGCGAGACTATCTCAAAAGAAAAAAAAATACTATAACAAGAGGTGAAAATTGTTAATGGGTCCTGGAGCTTGAAAATTTTTATTCAGTGATAGGGTGGAGTGAGGTATGTCAGCATAAATTCTTTTTCCATAATTTCATCATTGAAACTTTATAATTAATGAATTGGCCTTCTCAGCCATCCCCTTATTAGTTACCTTATTATTAGTCTAGTTTCTTTTTCCTTTTGTTTTTTTATTGTATGAGAGAAAGAAAGGGAAAAAATGTTGCAGTTGTATTTCCCCCATTTTCAGGAGCTTTCTTTGGGACCCTAGCTTAGAAAAAAACCCTTGGGAAAATATATTCTGCCTATATTGCATCAGTTAAGATATACTTGTATGAGCTTGGAAATGTAGTTTGTTAGTAGATACTTGGCTATTTACCATTTTCTCTTTTGCTAGATCCATTTTCAGTCAAGAGGAATGTTGCACGGAGCTTAAACAGCCAGCTGGTTTACGAATATGTTGTGGAGAGATTTAGGGCAGCTTATCGGTATTTTGCCTGTCCTCAGAGGAAGGGTGGAAATAAGTCTACAGTGGACTTCAAGAAAAGAGAGAAGGGGAAAATAAGCAATAAGAAACCAGTTAAGTCTAACAACGTGGCAACCAACAGTTGCATTCTGCTTGGGGAAAGCACAGAAAAAAAAAATGCAGAAAGAGAGCAACCTGTTAAATACGATGAAATGGAATGTACATCACAGAGATGTATTATTGACAACAACAATTTGTTGGTAAATGAACTAGATTTTGCTGACTGTGAACAGGAATCTTCATCTCTTTCTGCCAGCAAAAGCAGTGAATTAGAGCCAAAATCAGTTAAGAAACAAGATCATTTAGCGCCTTCAGAAACTTGTTTAAAAACAGAGCTCAACCAATGTAATTGCATTCATTTGTCTAAGTCCTCTGACCCAGATAAATCTACTGGAACAGACTGCAGGTCAAATTTAGAAACAGAGAGTTCACATCAGAGTGTGTGCACCGACATACCTGCTACCTCTTGCAACTGCAAAGCTACAGAAGATGCTTCTGACCTTAATGATGACGATAACTTCTCCACCCAGGAATTATATTATGTGTTTGATAAATTTATTTTAACCTCTGGCAAGGTAGGATACAGTTTGTTAACAATCTATAAGGTTTTGTGGTTGTTTTATGAATATGTATTTTTTTTTTTTTTTTTAGATTTAGAAATGTAAAAATAGCTTATATAGTGGTGACTGTTGTTTTGGAATGATATTTTGATATGTATTTTACCTTTTGTGTTTTTAGTATAGTTGCCTTTAAATAATGTATAGAAAGCATTGAGATTTCAGCATTCTATTACCAGTTGGTTTCCTTTACATCTGCACATATGAAAGAATTCATCTGATATTTCATGAGGATCTTAGCAAAGGCAGCATACATTTTAAATGTTGCTTATTTTGTATTTATTTTTCCTTCAGCAAAAGCCACATTCAAGGTTTTTTATTTTTATTTTTTTGGAGACAGAGTTTCCCTCTGTTTCTACCTCCCGGGTTCAAGTGATTGTCCTGCCTCAGCCTGAGTAGCTGGGACTACAGGCGTATGCCATCATGCCTGACTAACTTTTTGTATTTTTAGTAGAGACGGGGTTTCACCATGTTAGCCAGGTTGGTCTTGATCTCCTGACCTTGATCGGCTTGCCTCGGCCTCCCAAAGTCCTGTGATTACAGGCGTGAGTCACTGTGCCCGGCCTCAAGCTTATTTTTATACATAAAATTTCTTTATTCTAAAATATTTGACAAGGTTTGTAAATTCTAATAATATTTTACTTTAAGGATTTTTTAGAGGGGGGAAATAAAAGTATACTAAAGGTAGTTGAGGGAAACTAAGATTAGGAGCCAAAAAAATAAAGATTCTGTTTCTGCTACTGAGCCTCTGGATTTTGGCTTATCCTGTATGACTTACAGGAGTCCTGACCTTTCCTTTCTTTTCTTTTTTTCTTTCTTTTTTTTTTGAGATGGAGTTTTGCTCTTGCTGCCCAGGCTAGAGTGCAATAGCATAATCTTGGCTCACAGCAACCTCTGCCTCCCAGGTTCAAGTGATTCTCCTGCCTCAGCCTCCCGAGTAGCTGGGATTACAGGCACATGCCACCATGCCCAACTAATTTTTGTATTTTTAGTAGAGATGGGGTTTCACCATGTTGCCCAGGCTGGTCTCGAACTCCTGACCTCCGGTGATTCGGCCGCCCAAAGTGCTGGGATTATAGGCATGAGCCACCGCCCCTGGCCAGTCCTAACTTTCCTACTTTTGAAGCAAGATAGTACACACTTACATTTTTTTTTTTTTTAAACAAGTTCTGGCTTTGTTGCTGAGGCTGAAGTGCAGTGGTGCAATCTCAGCCCACTGCAACATCCGCCTCCCGGACTCAAGTCATCCTCCCACCTCAGCTTCCTGAGTAGCTGGGACTACAGGTGCATACCACCACATCTGGCTAATTTTTGTATTTTTTGTAGAGATGGGGTTTTGCCATGTTGTCCAAGCTGGCCTCAAACTCATAAGCTCAAGTGATGGGCCTGCCATGGCCTCCCAAATTGCTGGAATTAGAGGTGTGAGCTACTGCACCCAGCCAGATAGTCTAAACTTTAACTCATAAAGGAAGTCATTTAAAATGGAAACAACCCATTGAACAGAAAGTAAGCGGTAACTGCTTTGTGAATAAAATAAAGTTTTAGCTGAATCACATTACTTCAAGTGCATTGCACATAACTGAAATATCGTTATCATTATCCACATGAAAAATGATTATACAGATTATGCATAAGCCAAGTAGAACATTAAAAAAATAAACGGAAAGTCATCTAGCCTTATCCAGGCTTATTGTTTTATCAGTAATTACTGACAAGCTTTAAGATATTTAACCTAATTACTAAATAGTATTGCCTATTTTTTTTAAAATCTGCTTTATTAAGGTATGATCAGCATTTAAAAAGCTATAAATATTCAGTGGCTACAACTAGATGTGTTTGAATATAAGTATGTGTATTCTTATCACTATCAGTGCCACAAACCTATCAACTCCAAAAGTACCCTTCTTTTTTTTTTTCCTTTTGTGGTTTGAGAACTTAAGATATATTCTATTAGCAAATTGAAGAATGTAATACAGTATTATTAATCTTAGGCCCTACTTTGTAGAGATCTCCAGAGCTTATTTATTTTGCATAAATGAAACTGTGTACCCTTTGACCAATACCTCCCCATTTCCTCCTCACAGTAAGCAGTATTTCTTCATTCTATGTAAGTGTACATCTGTTGCATTTTATCTAGGTTGCATTATTTAGGGTACATGGACTACTGAAAGCATCAAATCAATGGCAGGTTCTTTAGAAAAACTTAATTATGTAACTTTAATGTTCATGTCTTACGCTTTATACTTTTTTTCCTGGAAACTTAAGGTAAGTACTGTTTCTCCAGTTTTCATTTTTACTATTTAAAGAGTTTCCTGGCCAGGCGTGGTGGCTCACGCCTGTAATCCAAGTACTTTGGAGGCCAAGGTGGGCGGATCATCTGAGATCAGGAGTTCAAGACCAGCCTGACCAACATAGTGAAACCCCGTATTAAAAAAATAAATAAAATTTTTTTAAATTAAAAAAAATAATAATTTCCTGCCTAAATATGTCATTTTTTAGAAAAAGCTTTGAAAAGCTGATAGAGATTCTTGTAGTACTATTAATTAACCTACAGTGTATCATTCTTACAAAGAGAGATTTCCTGATACAATTGTTTTACAGTTTTCGACTGTGTAGATGTCCAGGCTAACACTGGAGAAAGACACTAACTCTAGGATCTAGGCATATTAAAATAAAGAAAAGAGTGTTGGTGTTTCTTAACCATATCTGTTTCATCGAGTTGGCATAAATTTTTGTGTTTTAACCACTATTTGGTGTCCATTGAAATACATTTAAAATGGCTATATAGGATTTGGATTTTATTTTGTGGCCATTAAATAAGTTACTCTTTTGTATGAAGCTAATTTATTTTTAGTGTTCAGTCTGCAGTTTGGTCTCCTGAAGCACTAATGTAATAAATTGAACCAACTAAGTGAGAGTTCTGTGATCAATTGATTCAAAAGATAGAAAATGTTTGGAGTGAAATGAAAGGTGCAACTTAAAGTTTTCTTTATAACCTACTTTGTTTGATCTCAGTAAGTTAAAAACATAATGCATATATTTTCCTTTGGGAGCTGTTTGAGTTAACCCATACCTTCTGTACCTCCGGGCGTTTTCTGCATCTTCCATTTTCAGGTAAATTTAATCCTTGATGTAATTTTAATGGGGAAGAAAAAGTATTTGACTCAAAAAGGTTTTTGATATCTAATACTACGTTTTAACAACATATTTTTTTAAAAAATTACTTCCTGAAAGCACAGGTTACCAAAACTGAGTCACGTGAAAGATTCTTTTTGGATCTACTTTCCAAATGATGAAGTCCCTCAAAAGTTTATTAGATTATTAGATTTTTTTTTATCTTTGTATAGCCACCAACAATAGTATGCAGCATCTGCAAAAAGGATGGCCATTCAAAGAATGATTGCCCAGAGGATTTCAGGAAAATTGATCTAAAACCTCTACCACCAATGACAAACCGATTTCGGGAAATACTTGATTTAGTATGTAAAAGATGTTTTGGTAAGTCTTTTTATTACTACAACTACTGGGACAACATTCTTTCTTAGATATTAAATATTTATTTCCTGATTTAAAAAACAATTTGCTTATATTTTGTTTTGCTGAAGGTTTTTCAATGGAGACCCAAGTACAGATATTTACTAAATGACTAGTATGTGCAGAGCAGCATAGTAAATGCCAAGGGGAATAGAGAGTCCATATATATTGCTTTTAAGGAGCTTAGAATATGGATATGAGCTGTCTAACATGGTAGCTTCTAGCCTATGTGGCTTTTAAATTTAAATCAATTAAAATTAAATTAAAAACCAAGTTCTTCAGTTTTATACTAGACATATCTCAAGTACTCAGTAGCTACATGTAGCTAGTGGCTGTTATATTGGACAGCATTGATAGAGAACATTTTCATCCTTGCAACATTCTTGGATAACACTGCTCTAGATGGATTAATACAGCATGTATGTAAATTGCCATGATTGGAAGTAGAATGTGTTATATGCTATAGTAGTGGTAAATGAAACGCAGTGTAAACACAATTAATTTATCTGGGGTGGATCAGTGGAACGAGGATTAATGATGTGGTATTTGAGACAGACCTTGAGCTGCATCTTTAAACATTGAAGATTATGCATGAAAGCATAGAGTGGCTGGGTGTGATGGCTCATGTCTGTAATCCCAGCACTTTGGGAAGCCGAGGCGGGCAGGTCACAAAGTCAGGTGTTTGAGACCAGCCTGGCCAACACAGTGAAACCCTGTCTCTACTAAAAATACAAAAATTAGCCGGGCATAGTGGCACGTGCCTGTAGTCCCAGCTGCCTGGGAGGCTGAGGCAGGAGAATCACTTGAACCCAGGAGGTGGAGGTTGTAGTTAGGCGAGATGGTGCCGTTGCACTCTAGCCTGGACAACATTGCAAGAGTCCATCTTAAAAAAAAAGAAAAAAAAAAAAAGCATAGAGTGCATGTTTTATTGGGGGAATAATTGCCTTTGATTTGGTAGGGTATAAGAAAGGCAGTAGAGAGAAATAAAGCTGTAAAGATATTATGGGGAAAGCCTTGCATGCGTTTATTCAGCAAATGTTTACAGAGTACCTGGGAGTCACCTTTACTCAGCAAAAATTCAAAAAGTAATTTATGAATTACTTTCTGTGTCCAGGTAAGATAAAATTTCTGGTGTCAACATTTAGTGCTTCATCGTAATCTCTTCCTTCTTCCCCATTTCCATCTCCCACCAGGCAACTACTTTTCTGTGTTTGTCACTATTGATAGTTTATATTTTCTAGAGTTCTGTGTAAGTGTAGTTATACAGAATGTGTTCTTTTTTTGGTCTCACTTTTTTTTGTCTGACTTTTTTCACTCAGTATATTACTTTGGGATTCATCCATGTTGTTGTCTATCAGTGGTTAATTTATTCTTGTATCTGAGTAGTGTTCCATTGTATGGCTATACCACAATTTGTTTATTCATTCACCTGTTGATAAATATTTGTCTCACTTCAAAATTTTGGCTGTATGGGTCTGAGTATGGACATACACTTTCATTATCTTGGCTAAATACTTAGTAGTAGAATGGCTGGATCACGGCACATGTTTTTTAGCAGCTTTATTAAGATACAATTTACTGCATTTGTTTTTATTTAGTCATTTATTTATATCAATGTGGGCTCATAGATATTTGATACTTTGGGTTATAATTGAATATAATTTTTCTTTTGTTCAAGTTATTTCAGCTTTGGCCATTGGGAGCTATTTCACTTGGCTTCTGGTTCCCTTTTATCTACATCCATCAGTGTGTGGTTTTTATTGTTTGTTTGGGTTTTAACACTTCCTTATTTTCTGGCACTACAAGATGCTCCTGGCACTTCATGTTTGTTTTGTGCCCTAGTCCTAGAATTAGGCATTTCTCCAAGGATCTGTAATTCCTTTTATTGGAAAATGATATTAGAAACCAAGATCTGAATACTAGGTATGCTTGCTATTACTGGGCTGTCATTGCTTTGAGACCATCTCAGAGCAAGAAAATATGTCTGTATATACTAAGCTATGTATATAAGCTTACTATAAATACTTCTATATGTAGCCGTCTTATCTGTGTTAAACCAAACATGATTTCATGATGGTATCTCTGACTCTAACCCATTACCACATGGCTCATTTTAGCCATGCGTATATGTAAACTCCCCTCCAACAGTGAGAAACCTGGTTCCCACCTCTATTACTCATATTTTAAATTGTTCCATTTTAGTACATATATATAGCAGTATCAGAACTGTTAACCCATACCCCTGTGGGAAACAACTTTATTAACTAGAGTACAGTGCTTATGTGTGGTTCCTTTTGCCCTTAGTCTTACAGATTCCACTCATTTTCAAATTTACTTTGCTCAGCACCTTTCCCCCTGTCCCTCATGTGAAGTTGTTTCATACATTTATAATACAGTTAGATTATTTTGTCACAGTCTTTATTACACCCTAAGATCCCCTGACTTCCTAGCTGAGTTTTTTTAAATTGCATACATTAAGGCTCACTCTTTGTGCTACAAAGTTCTGTGGGTTTTGACAAGTGCATTGTGTCATGTATCTACCATTAGAGTATCATACGGAATAGTTTCACTGCCTTAAAAACAAATTAACAAATTACATGAATTTTATTTATTTAACTCCCCTTCTTCTGTAAGCACTGATAACTGCATTTGTTTTTTAAAAGTTGAATATTAGTTTAATTCATTATAGCCAATTCTTTTTTTTTTTTTGAGACAGAGTCTCACTCCGTCATGAGGCGCCAGGCTGGAGTGCAGTGGCGCAATTTCGGCTCACTGCAACCTCCGCCTCCCAGGTTCAAGCAATTCTCCTGCCTCCGCCTGCCAAGTAGCTGGGACCACAGGCGTGTGCCACCATGCCCAGCTAATTTTTGTGTTTTTAGTAGAGACGGGATTTCACCATGTTGGCCAGGATGGTCTCGATCTCTTGACCTCGTGATCCGCTCCTCTCAGCCTCCCAAAGTGTTGGGATTACAGGCGTGAGCCACTGTGCCCAGCTATAACAAATCTTTATAAATTACTGCTTTGTTCCTGTTACTATATTAACTTTCTGAGACGAGTGTGAAGAGGTAGGGAAAAAAACTTTGTTCTTAAGAAATTTATGGACTTATTTGGAAAAATAAGATGAATATAAATGAAATAACTAGGAAATCAAAAGGATAAAATAAATCAGGTACTAGACTGTGGCACACAGTTCGAAAAACTGAAGAAGTGGAACTAAAAAGAGATCATTAAATGCTGTGATTTGGCAAAACAGTTTATAGGGAAGATAGGAATTTTGACCAGGCATTTGAGGGAACTGTTAATAAATCTGAATGAGCCAGATGCCTAGTGTAGCAACACGAATACAGTCTTAACAGATGGGAAAATAAGCATGGATATAGGAGAGAGTGAAGAAGTAAATAGGTTTGTAGATATATGGGAAATGATCATGTGAAATGTACATATATCTTAAAATAAGTTTTCTGTTCCATTTCTTCCTCTGGGTTGCTAAAACAGAAAAACAGTTTTTTTTCCTGCTATCTCCCTGACCTTTCCCCAGTAACATTTATGGTTTTAAAGTCAGAGAAGTCAACAAATAATGAACAAACTGTAAGTAAAATTTTTAGGGTAAAAACTTGAAGATGTTTTCAGATTATATTTTCCTTACTTTTCTTTTTCCTTTTTTCTTTTTGTAAACCCAGATGAGTTATCACCACCTTGTTCTGAACAACACAACAGGGAGCAAATTTTAATTGGCTTGGAAAAGTTTATTCAAAAAGAATATGATGGTATGTCATAGGTTAAAAAATTTATTGTGTTTTTGCTGTAGTCACGTAGTCTTGACTTTCATTTATTTAAAAATGTTTATTGAATGTTATGTGTTAAGTACTATTCTAGTTGCTGGGAATACAGTGCTAGTAAAAGAGATGAAAACTCTCATGAAGCTTATGTTTCAGATAGGGAAACAAATAGTTGACTAATATATAATATTATATCAGCAAATAATACATGCTGTTAAAGAGTAGGAAATAAAAGAATTGAAGTGATGGGGTGTTATGATAGGTCTTTCTGATAAGGTAGCATTTGCACAGGATCCTGAATAAGATGAAGGAGCAAGTTATATAAATATCCAAGGAGAAAACATTGTCAGTGAAAAAGACTAGATTATGTCTGGCATATTTGCAGAATAGCCAGGAAGTCAGTGTAACTCGAGTGGAGTATTAGGTAGATTGTAATGGATAGATGAGGTCAGAGAGGTAGTCTAGGGATTAAGTCATTAGGGTCTTACGGATGTGGGTGGAAGGACTTTGAATTTTAATTTGAGTATCTAATGAGAATCTTTTAGAGTATTTTTAGTAATTAAATGACATGATCTGAGAGAATAGGTTGCTGGGCTATAAGACTAGAAGCAAGCAAAACATTTAGGAGGCTGTTGTGTAAGTCCAGATAAGACATAATAGTGATTTGGAGGAGTAGATGAGAAGTGGTCAGATTTGGGATATATTTTGAAGGTAGAGCCAACAGGGTTTGCTGATGGAAAACGTGAGACGTGAGAGAAAGAAATCAAAGATGGTTTCAAGGTTTTTGCTTTAGCAGTAACAGTTGGGTGGTCCTGTTTAACTGAGATGGCAAAGAGCAGGAAGAGTAAGTTTTGGGAATGGGAATGAAGAATCAAGAGTTTTGTGGCCAGATATTTTAGAAAATGACAAATAGTTGATTTATAATCAGAATGATTTTTTACTTTTACAAGATGATCCATTATGTGTTATAAAATTACATTTAAAAGTATTTGAAAACAAATTTTTTAATTAAAAAATTCTATTTTTTTTTTTAAGAGATAGAATCTCAGTCTGTTGCTCAGACTAGATAGAGTGCAGTAGCATAATTATAGCTCACTGCAGCCTCAAAGCAGTCTTCCTGCCTTAGCCTCCCAAGTAGTTAGGACTAGAGGTGTGTGCCACCATGCTTGTCTAACTTTTTATTAAAAAAGAACTTTTTTCGGCCGGGCGCGGTGGCTCAAGCCTGTAATCCCAGCACTTTGGGAAGCCGAGGCGGGTGGATCACGAGGTCAAGAGATCGAGACCATCCTGGTCAACATGGTGAAACCCCGTCTCTACTAAAA